CCAGCTGGCCTCATGTGGGGGAGGAATGGTGAATCAAACCCAGCTCTCCAGATTAATGTCAGCTGCTCTTAACCATTATAACACGCTGTTTAGATTTAACAAAACAATTAACTTTCTGAAATCAAAGTGTAAAGCAAATTAAATGTTCATGATGTCCTGGCCCCACTGGTGGACCTCCTGATGGCACTGGTATTTCTGGCCACTGTGTGACTATAAAGTAAATCTCCACACACACGTTTCCAAGGACGCGTTATCCTTTATTAGATTACAAAACTGGTACCCTATCCATAGGATTATTGTTAGGAATAACCAGGGCTTTTTTTGTAGAAAAAGACCAGCAGGAGCTCGTTAGCATAATAGGCCACACCCCTAAAGTAAATCTCCACACACACGTTTCCAAGGACGCGTTATCCTTTATTAGATTACAAAACTGGTACCCTATCCATAGGATTATTGTTAGGAATAACCAGGGCTTTTTTTGTAGAAAAAGACCAGCAGGAGCTCGTTAGCATAATAGGCCACACCCCTGACAGCACAGCTCATTAGCTTATTAGGCCACACCCACATGTTACCAGAAGTGTGGACATCCAGCCACACCGATCTTTTGCTTCTTATTCTGTTGACCTTGTTTGTGGTCAAAACCCAGGGCTTTTTTTGTAGCAGGAACTCCTTTGCATGTTAGGCCACACACCCCTAATGTAGCCAATCCTAATGAGTTTCTGCTGTTGGGTGTGGCCTATTATGTTAATTAGTTCCTGCTGGGCGTGGCCAACTCGGGAGCCAGCCGGAACTCCGTTCCTGTGCGTTCCTGCCCAAAAATAGCCCTGGGAATAACCAAGGGGCGGAAACATCCCTACATATAGCAGAATGAGGCAAATGGCTAAGCAAATGAAACTCGAGCGAGCGCGGGGGAATTTTCCCGGCGAGAGGATACGTAATAAGCGGGAGAGTCTCAGTGCCTCATGAGAGCCTCACCAAAACAGCCCCACTCCTATGTTGACAGCTCTTCTGCTGTTGGGGACAGTGAGAGTCTTGAGGTCAGAGGGCTTCAGTCTGAGGAGGGAACCTTAAAACGGGACCCTTCTTTGGGTGACAGATCACTATCCTCTCACACTGAGGATCAGCGTTCCCTCTAAGCTGAGTCAGTGTGAGCTAGCTCACAGTTTTTTAGCCTCCGGCTCACACAGTTTTGTCTTCGCTCAGGACGGAGGGCTCCAATTTCTGCAGTAGCCAAATTGCTCGCTCACAACTTTAATGCCAGTAGCTCACAAAGTAAGAATTTTTGCTCACAAGCAGGGGTCATTTCCTGCAGGAGCATGCAGGAGCGGAGCTCTGGCAGTAAAGAGCCCAGGGGGTGGGCACATGCAACAAGCCCCACCCCCTGCTCCCAGCAGCCCTCAGTCAGAGCAAGAAGCAGCTAGGTAAGTTGCAGAGCCTCCCAAAAAAAAACACAGTTCAGTGGCACCTTTAAGACCAAGTTTTATTCAGGTACAAGCTCTCCCTCCTCTGTGAGGACAGATCTGCTCGTTCCCCCCCCCCCAATAGCTAGCAATCCAAAACAGTCCAGTGGAGTCTGAGCGGTGGGTGTTGCCTTCTGACACACTTCCAGTGATGTCAGGGGGCGTGGCATATGCAAATAAGTTATGCTAATGAGCTCCTGCACCTCTTTTTCTATGAAATGACCGCTGCTCACAAGACTCCCCCAGTTAGAGGGAGCGGTGCTGAGGATACCGCTGGGTGGAGGTGAGCTTCTGATAGTGGGTGATTTGATCACTGGGGATCTAAAGACTGGAGTCTACGGCCAGCGTTTTAACTGCATGGTGACTTGCCTGCCGGGTGCAAAGGTTGCAGACATCACGCGCTGTCTAGGTAGGTTGACAGACAGTGCAGGGAGGAGTCAGCAGTCATATGATGCCTACTGGCACCAATGACATTGAGAAATGTAGTTGTGTGGCCCTGGAGGAAAACTTTAGGTTACTAGGCAGAAAGGTAAAGGCCAGGACCAGTCGGGCCTTTGGATGACAAAGGAGTAAGGGGACAGCAAGATGGGGAGGGGACAGAGACGCTCAATGACTTTTTTGCCTCTGTGTTCACTATGGAAAGTGTGGGGCATGAACCCAGGCCACAGCCCCTATTTCCAGGAAGGAAGTCTGAAGAACTGAATCAAACTGAGGTGACTAGAGATGAAATTTTAGACCTACTGGGGAAATTGAAAACCATTAAGTCTCCAGGTCCAAATGGCATACAACTGAGGGTTCTTAAGGAACTCAGATATTCTGGTGTTTCAGACATTTAAGGGGGCAACGAGTTGACAGCCACGATTTGAAAACCAGTGTGAGAGAATGAAAGAGTTCGACAAAACAGTGCTTTATGAATGGGCAAGGGGATACGGTTTGCCTCCGTTCACTACTTCGTGTTAATGCAGGCAATTCTAGGCCCATTAGCACTGCTGGCTGGGAATTCCAGCTACACCGCCTCTCAAGATTTCACAGGTTTTCAGAGGAATGTCTAGTAAAGAGCAGGAGACGACAAGCTACTTTTGACAGCAAAAACTGAAAACTGCAGAGTTCCTGAAAAGGCTCTTAACTGCCTGAGCTTCACCTACCAGAAGGTCTGCTTTGCGGCCTGGATAACACTTGCGGTCACATCCACATCGATGTAGTCATAGTGCAAAGTCCCTGGATCTGCAGATGAGCCGCTCTCAGCCAACAAGATCCCAATCCACCGGCCCATGTCTTCAGAAGACGATGCCTATGCAGGGTGGGGGGAGGGGGGGGAGATCATATGCAAACACCCTTAAACTGTCATTTAAACATCCAGGGTTTTTTCTTCAAATATACCTATGTTTTAGAATTTAAAAAGAAGAGTGGGTTCTTTTCCCTACCCTAAGGAGTCTCAGAGCAGCTAACAATCGCCTTTCCGTTCCTCTCCCCACAAGAGGCACCTTGTAAGGTAGGTGGGGCTGAAAGAGTTCCGACAGAACTGTGGCGGTGGTCACACAAGCAGTTTGCACCGATATCGTTGAGGTACCTTTGCGGATTTAAAGAGCAGGATCAGAGAGCAACATCTGCCTTCCTTACTTCAGTCGTCGCCACCTTGTTCTGCCTCCACTTTGGAAGCGGAGTAATCAGGCACCAGGGAAAGTCCAGTGTTTACGGACATCGGCGCTTTCGCCCCGCATTTCCAGATGTCTGAACTCCCCTGGTGTGAGATCAACCTGGTTGAGAAGTCTGATTGCTCTGTTCCATTTTCGCTCCTTTTTTCTTAGTGTTTAGTGTTTGGATGGGAGACCTCCAAGGAATACCATAATTGTGATGCGGAGCCTGGCAGTGGCAAACCACCACTGAACGTCTTGTGCCTTGAAAACCCCACCAGGGGTCGCCATAAGTCAGCTGTGACTTGATGGCAAAAAAAACAACAACAAATCCCATGCATCCGGGAGTATTCATATTGCTTAGCTGTTCCCTACTTAGGCATGAATAAAACACAGCTGTACTTTACCACATCAGAGAATACTTGCAAGAGGTGCTCTGTAAGTTGATTGATCATTACCGGTGCCATCCTAAACAGAGTTACACTCTTTTTAAGCCCATTGACTTCAGTTGACTTAGAAAGGATGCAATTTAGTTTAGGATTGCGCTGTAATACTGCAAATTCATTATATGGATTAGATGTGTGCATAACCACATCTTTGTGCACACCAGCAAGCTTTCAGCTGTCCTCTGAGGCAAAAAGGGGGGGAGGGAAGGGCAGGCTGAGAAGCCTCCTTTGTCTTTTTTCATGCCGGTTCCTCTGCCTACAGCTTTACAGCACACAGGGTGGGGAAGGGGTTAATTGAAAAGATGAGTTGTTCAGAGAGGGAGGCAGCCTCCTCCAGCTGTCAAAACGGTGCTTCAAATAAGCAGTTATGCGCATATGCAAAAGGCAATTTTTTTAAAAAAGAAGCCGCCTGACCACCCACTCCATGGTTGCCCCGCAGCAATAATCTGAACGATCGACCACAGGGTGAGCGGGCAGTGAGGCTGCTTTAGGGTGTGCTGTCTGGTCACCCCTTCCCGTGACGATTTAAACCGCCGCAAATAGAAGTGCCGCCAGATCGTGCCAAGCCTCCAGTGTGACCTTAGCCTGTGACTGACCCAAGGTCACCCAGCTGGC